GTAAGACATTTTATGATTTATTTATGTCGTGTACTTGACCAGAAGACTGATTGACCATTGTTTGTTGACTTGCCAAGTGATTAACCCTCAATACTTGACCAGCCAGGTGGTTGATCAGCAGAGTGATGGACCATCAATACTTTACAGGTCGTGTTATTGACCATTAGTCCTTGACTTGCCGAGTATCTAACTGTCAATACTGGACTGGCTGAGTGATTGACCATCATAACTTGACCAACTGAGCGATTGACCATCATTACTTGACGAGCTGAGTGATTGATCATCAATACTTGACCAGCTGAGTGATTGACCATCAATACTGGACCAGCCGAGTGATTGACCATCATAACTTGACCAGCTGAGTGATTGACCATCAATACTTGACCAGCTAAGTGATTGACCATCATTACTTGACCAGCTGAGTGATTGACCATCATTACTTGACCAGCTGAGCGATTGACCATCATTACTTGACTAGCCAAGTTACTGACCATCAATACTTGACCAGCTGAGTAACTAACTGTCAATACTGGGCTGGAAGATTGATTGACCATCAGTACCTGATCAGCTGAGTGATTGGCTATCGATGTTTGACCAGCCGAGTGATTGACCACCATTGACCATTGTTACTTGACTATCACAGTGATTGACCAGCTGGGTGTCAATGACTTGATATGCTGCTTGATTCTGTGAGTTTTTTGCTGTTTCTGTTTAAGTTTGGTTTGTATCTGCAGTGCTAGAGATAATATCAACCAATCACTGTCCAATCAACTAGAGTTTAGTGATTGATGGTGTCTTGTCATGAAATTTATTTTTACAATCTTAGCTAGAAATTAAAGCACTGATTTTAGCTTATTAGACTTAAATACTTTTATTTCTGATAGAACAAATACATCTGTTAAATCTACAAAATTAGTTTTGTAAAATTTGGCCAATTTGAAATAAGTTTTGATTTTATCGTGGTTATTTTGCATGGAATTGGTATCATAAATGTGGTTATATATTTATATATATTTGCTGCTAAGCTTATCTGTTTAAGTTGATCCCAATAAGTAAACTAATATATCTGGGTCATATACTAAATTTTCCTTGATTTGATTGGAGTTATGTCCCCTCCATTGACAGCACCCAGTATATTTTCCTAATGTATATCATATATATATATATATATACCTGATAACAACACATGTAATCAGCTTTCTGTCACCACCTGCTAGTCGCTGTACTCCACGCCACAACGTATATTTCACATCCCTATCATACTCACAGGATTACCAATAAAAAAAAATTAAAATTAGGTTATGAAGAACAATCCATCTATTAAAGGTTTAAATTATGCGAGAACTGATGGTTTACTTTCTATTGTGGATTTTATTTCATATTTGACTCCGCAGATACATTTCACTGTAAGACCTTGTCTTAACTGACCTCTGGAAAAGGTGATCTTTCAAACTACAGCCTAAGACCATTTTGCCATACAAGATCTCGGCTCTTGTAGATTTTACAGTATTGTTATTACCTTCATGATCAAAGTTACAATAAATATCGGAATTCTGGTATAACTACTTAAACCATTTTAGTATAATAGTGACTGGTTTATACAAAGATAATATATTAAGAAATTAATGTTTTTTGTTGTAAAACATCAGAAATATATTAAAATTTGAAATGAAACCTCCTTGGTGGAGCTTTGGAAGTCTAAGGTGTGTTTTTTTATATGAAATAATGATTGAAAGAGTTAGCAACCTCCCTAATAAATTTTGTCAGATCTAATTAATAAAAACATCAAACAATTTTGATCCAACTATAGTAGAAAAACCCCCCCCCCCCCATATAGGTTCTGTCAAAAAAAAACCCAAAAAACTATCACAGAATTAACAAATATGTCATTCCCGCTGTGAAATATCAGTGATCTGATATCGTGGCCAAGAGTAGGATGTGGTGTGGAGGGTGGACGGCAGGCGATGGCTGACTTGGGTGTGTACTGTTATATATCCATGGCTCCTGGCTTTCAGATGAGGAGTTAATCATGTCACGTGGTGAGTTTGTCCATTAGTTAATGCATGTCCCCAAATATTTATTTTTACATGTATTATTTCTGTAGACAAAAGGAAAATCTCCTTTCAACAGATTGACTGCTAGCTGTGCCATCAGAATTCAAAGTTGCTTTTGTGTAGAACCGTTCGCTTATAAAACAGTGTCCTGACCATGTTATTGTCAAGCTGGTTACTTCCCCTATATCCACTCTCCTTTGTTAAATATGTAAACAAATTTAAAAAACAAAATTGACTTAGAATTTAATCAAAAATTTTTTTGGCAAAAAAAAAAAAAATAGTTTAAAAAAAGAAATCATATGTAATTTTTTTTTTTTTTTTGCTTTATGAATATTTTGGTGGTTTAGTAGAGATTAGTTTTGTTTTTGAATGCTTCTATAATTTTTTATAATTGTTTTCTGCCGTTGGTAGGATGCATGACTTCTAAACTTTCATTCACAGTGGATCAATGTTGTGCTAGCGAACTTGTGTACCCATATTTGCAGACATGATAAGAGATATAACATCTGATACAGATATATACACCTATTTGGATGTGCCCCACCATGATATGAAGGATTGCCCCAGTCTCTTTGTCTGTGATTTCTGTAGAAAAAAAAAATCATCATTTATGCTCAAACTTGTGTGATGATAAATATTCAAATAGTAGCATAGTTTTTTTCAGATTGCCTCTGAGGCTAAGGTTACCTTATATGAAGGTCATCAGAGGCTTAAGTCAATTTAGGTTAAGGTCATCTGTGTTCAAGGTCATTGCTTCAATAAAAGACAATTTCATTGCAGTGTCATCTTCCATGTTTTGCCTTTTTAATGATCAATGGTCATAAAGAAACTAAAATTTCAAGACATATGATCAAACACAACTTCACATCTAACATTTTACATCCAAAGAATTTAGATTACACAACAGACCTAGTACTGCTTTGTCTTGTTCATATTACCTATGGCTGCAATGAGTATGCTGGTCACCCGAGTCAGTATTACCTAGTTCTATTGTAAAGTTCACTATAAAATGTTTCTAAGTACCTCTGTGCACTTGTTGGCTGTCTGTTGAGAAGAAACAATGTTTAATATACACGTAAATATATAAATCTGCTGTATGAAGGACTACATTGTTGCACTGATGGTTGACACTTTCTCATGGCCAAGAAACATGCAACAGCCTTAAACTAAAACTCAGAATTCCTCAATATACACAGCCATGACACCTTGAACATATACACAACATGGCGTCCCTGATCGAAACCTTGAACATATATACAACATGGCTTCCCTGATCAAAGCGTATGATAATTGTAATTCTATGAAGTCTGAAAACACATTGTAATAGTCATTTCCCCAACATCGTCAATAATGTCCAGACTACTATGTAAGTCTAAATGATGTTGATTAGCCAACAATACTTGAAAAACCAGCGTTTATCACCAATTTGAATTTGTGGTGATCACGTTACTGAAAATTGCAGGTCGAGGGTGTCAATGATAAGTACCCCGAGGTGAAAAATTGTGTACTTGTGACAGCCCTAATATCACAATGAAACACATTTTTCATGTTTTATTAACATTTTCAAACTCATCTCGTGAAGGTCTGCAATTGCTAGATACAAAGTTTGTGCGTATCATATTAGTTAAGTTGGAGTTTGCAAGATAACCTTAGCTGACTCAGGGTTGTAAAACTAGAAATAAGCAAATAAATATGAAGTACATGTTTATATGTAGTTTAATGACATGAAAATTAAGTGTTATTCTTTAGCTCAGCTTTGCCCAAAGAACCATGTGGGTTTAGACCATGCTACAGCATAGTGTTATCCAAACAACTTCTTTTAGTAAAGAAGAAGGGATACGTTGTCATTTTGGCCTATAATTTCCTCATTTTAATCTCAATTAAGTTAGTGAAAAGAATGTAACCTCAAGCTTGGTTACATGAGTCAGATTTGTGTGTCCCATGAGTCAGATTTGTGTGTCACCTGAGTCAGATTTGTGTGTCACCTGAGTCAGATTTTTGTGTCACAGAAGTCAGATTTGTGTGTCACCTGAGTCAGATTTGTGTGTCGCATGAGTCAGGTTTGTTTGTCACATGAGTCAGAATTGTGTGTCACAGGAGTCAGATTTGTGTGTCCCATGAGTCAGATTTGTGTGTCACCTGAGTCAGATTTGTGTGTCGCATGAGTCAGGTTTGTTGGTCACATGAGTCAGAATTGTGTGTCACAGGAGTCAGATTTTTGTGTCACATGAGTCAGAATTGTGTGTCACAGGAGTCAGATTTTTGTGTCACATGAGTCAGATTTATGTGTCACATGAGTCAGCTTTGTTTGTCACATGAGTCAGAATTGTGTGTCACAGGAGTCAGATTTGTGTGTCACAAATGATTGTCCAGCATCTGTTCAAACTCAGAAAAAATTATCCCCCTCTAAACAGTATGATGCCCTAGCCATTATACGGAGGGGATATTATTGATAGTCATGCCTGTCCCTTATCCCATCCAATCTGTGAAGCCACATTCAGAAGTGATATCAAATATTTGAGAACCTCTCAACAGTTTTAGCTCATATTTCCTCAAATGTATCGTAACATCAAATTCTACTCCTGATCTGATTCTAGTATGTATAACAGTAGGAGTAGTCATGTCTTACAGACATTTTCTGAATGAAAAGTTAAAAAGAAATATCTTGTATACTATTTAATATCTGCAGATTATATAGGTATAGATTTAACTAGTCAATCTGAAACACATTGATCTGTTGAAGGCTGTTTGATTTTCCTACCAGGTGTCCTGGGTATTGGTGTATTCTACTGCCTGTAAATATTCCTATACTGTGGGTCATTGGTGAATTCTACTGTCTGTAAATATTCCTATACTGTGGGTCATTGGTGTATTCTACTGTCTGTAAATATTCCTATACTGTGGGTCATTGGTGTATTCTACTGTCTGTAAATATTCCTATACTGT